TTGACATGGAGAATTGACACCAGTAACATAAATCAGATTTTTGTTTCCCAAACTTAAGGCAGGTGTCACTTTCTTTTGGGGTGTCACCACTATTGTCTAAGTTCTACTCTTTCTGAATTATTATTAAATTTAATTTGAGGGACTTGGTACTCAGTCCAGTTGTGGCATCCAGTTGTGGTCAGACATTGTTCATGACTTTGTACTCAAAAGTGACCGTTGGTGGTACTCTGAGGACTTTATGTGATGCTAGAGATTAAATGGAAGTCAGCTAGCTGCATACAAGACAAGAACCCTGTACTATCTATTTGATAACTGAATAATTTCTATTTTACTCATTATTCTAATATATTTATTGATTTTGTCATTTACAATGCTATTAGTTATTTCTCATGCAAATAATTCCAACATCATACCTCTCACCCTTCCCTCTCCTAAGGACCCTAATACCCCTCCTTCTCAATGACCCCCTTCACCTCATGAAACTCCTAAAATTTATATGGAACCATAAAATTGCCCAAATAGACAAAGTAATCCTAGGACAACAAAAGAAGATGGGAGGTTTTACATTTCCCATCTTTGAATTACATGACAAATCTATGATAATCAAAACTATATTGTACTGAACTAAAGATACACCAACAGAACAGAATTGAGAGTCCTGAGGAAGGCATCCATATTTTTGGTAAGGAATTAGAACTGTACCTCATATTATTGACAAAAGTAAACTCAAAGCAGATTACAATCTCAAGATTAGGCTAGAATCCATAAAATGCATTGAAGAAAACATCAGCAGAAATCTCCAGGAAATTGACTGTTGAGGCTAAATTATTTTTAAAATAAAGTCTCTGTTAACAAGTGTTTATCCTAGACATTTCCTGTGAAAAGTGTCTCTCAAATTATGTTTGATAAACTTACTGCTGCTCAAATTCACACTGATATAAACTATAGTAACTAAGGTAAAAATCAAACATCTTGGTTTCTGTACTACTGAATTAAGAATCACAGGAACACACAAATTGTACTCAGAGAAGCACTGACCAGACATGCAGTTCTATTTTAATTATGAATGTATTTTAAATGTTTGGGAAAAATTATTCTTTAAAATTCTGAAAGTCTTCAGTGTCTTTGCAACAAGTCCCAGAAGTAGTGTACTATGGTTATTGCCTATATTTGGGACATTTTTCTTGATTCTAAGGCCAAAGTTATTTATAGTAAAATCCAAATAAATGAAAGAAAGCAAACTCAGACATTACAAAATATTCATGTCTGACATCACTTCTCAGAACATTTTCTTTCTTGTCCTCTATAAGCACCACTTGCTCCTAGTACCTGGACTTTGATGAGAAATGATTCATTAATCAAAATTATAAGTCCAAGAACAATCACTTTCTGAGCATTTTTGTGTTTCCCTAGAATTCTAGTTTAAATCTTTCCTGATTTTTCTCATTCTATATTTTTCACTCTTCTCTATCTAGCTACACTGGAATATAGTTTAGTTACTCAATCACTTTCTTACCAACATTGTCAGCATATATTGCCCTATTTCCACTCCACTCAGTAAAATCTTAGCCCTGAGTGGAACCATCAGTTTGCCTTTCTTGACACTACTGTGGAAAACCTTACAATTTCACAGATTGGTGTCATAAAATTCCTTGCTTAGAACTTCCAATGAATCTCTTGTACTGCCCCTCCAACATTCTATGTTCTGATATTTGGATTTCTTTTTAATTACTAGGAAGAAAACATATGACTACAAGTATAGATTTGGAGTTTCTACTTGGTTTCATAAACATGAACCACCTGAAAGTTCTGGAACAAGGAAATTACTTGGTCAACACAGTACTTTAAAAATCTAGTAGTTCTGCGTTCTTAAAAATAAACAAAGCAGGTTGAAGAGATAGTACAGTAGGCAGGGTGTTTGCCTTGCCTACATCTGACTGGATTCAATCTCTGACACTCTATGTGGCCCCCTCAGCCCTGCCAAAAATGATCCCTAAACAGATCCAGAAGCAAGACCAGAGCACCAATGGCTATGACACAAAGTAAATAAAAACAAACAAAAAAATTACTTGCTATCATTCCTTTTCCTCTATTTCTTAATTGAAAGAATTTATATATAACTTGTCCTTAAATCTGATATTCCCAGAGTGGTTGGTTCCCCACTCTTAACTACCTGGTGAACTCTTATTCATCACTCCCAATTTAATTTATAATTTACTACTTCCAAAGTTTTCTGATCTTTTCACATTCTGGATTTTAGTATTTGATACTTTGTATATTTCAGGTTTATAAATACCACAGCAACAACATTAAATGAGATGATGATGAATTGACAAAAGGTGCATTTTTCATCTTTTTATCCTCAGTAGTTGTATGTGATATTCAAAAAAATGCACAATGAGTGACTGATAGAGTTAATGCATTAAATTCAGGTTATATCTCTATAAATACTGATTTTAAATCTTAAAATATAACACATGATGGCATTTGGTTGGATTTTATATTGGTAAATCATTATTAGCTATTTAAGTTATCCAATGTGACCATAACCATATTGAGAGATATGGAAATGAGCTATTTTAATATCTTTACCAATTTCATTTTTTTGAGGTGATAATAAGTTGGGCAAAGGATATTTTCTTTTTTCCAAAATCAAGTTATGTCCACCAAATAATTAACAAAGATTTTATGAAGAAAAATATATTTTCACTTAGACATAGAGCAAAGAAGGTAACATAGTCTAAATTTTAAAATGCCAAACTATCTATCCAATTTTATAAAAAAAAACTGCAAAGAATCACCAAATTGTTTTTTACCTATCACTAAATATTATTCTTTTCCATTGTACTCCAATACCAGAAACTTACCTTTTTTTTTTAATCTAATGGTTGTACATCAGTGTATTTAAACCATTCTATTGTTTGTATTTATTTCTTGAGTTCCTGTTTTTATTTGTTTATTTAGTTATTGGCACATACTCCTTGCTATATGTTCAGAGATCATTCCTGGTGGATCTTGAGGAGCCATATAGGTTGTGGGGTGTTGGGGATCAACCCAGGTCAGCTACATGCAAGGCAAACATCCAGCTCTCAGTATCATCTCTCCAGGTCCCTCTGTTTACTATTTTTATGAACATCTAGAACTGCTATTATCTCATTAGGGGCCAAAGCGATAGCATAGTGGGTAGGGGGTATTCAGCTGACCCGGGTTCGATTCCTTCACCCCTTCCGTAGAGCCCCGCATGTTACCGAGAGTACTCCCACTGGACAAAGCCTGGCAAGATACTTGTGACATATTTGATATGCCAAAAACAGTAACAACAAGTCTCACAATGGAGATGTTACTGGTGCCCGCTTGAGCAAATAGATGAACAACAGAAAGACAGTGCTACAGTGCTATAGAACTGCTAGATTTGGTTCTTCAAGCACTACTTTGACCAATAATTTCTGTATTCCAGAATTTTAGGTGGCCTATGTCTATAAAATCAGTTGGGAACTCCAAGACTGAATTTACTGAACTTGCGGTCATTTGTTTTCCATTTATTGGTTTATAAAAAACTGATGTATAGTAAATGTTTTTGATATCATGATTGATTTTTTTCATTGTGTATTTATTTATATAAAGTAAATTTAGGACACCTAGCTGAAAGGAAATTTAAGATTGTGTCATTCATGATTAATATTGGTGAATTATCTAGAGAAGATACCTCTTGTTAAGGATTTCAAATATATTAAACAAAGTATATTCTAAGGGTTTCTATATTCAAAATGTAATTGATATGTTAACATAATATAGATCTTCCATTTGGGGTTAATATAATGGTAATATGTAGAGATCCTCAAGAGGACAACTTGGTTTCACAACTTGAAAAAACTGGTTTAATGTTTCTCATTAAATTTCTCATTAAACTTCAGCCATGAGCATAATTAAAGAGATCCATAAGACAAGACAAATGATTCCTCTTCAGATACTGGACCAAGCAAGTAGAGTGGTGAAAACCAACATGGTCTCTGCTTGAAAACAACTTTTAGTTGCTGACCCAACTGTCCTGTAGCCTTATCTACATTACTGTGATCTTATCTCCAGCTCTGCTTCTCTAGTGCCCTTTTGGTTCAGTTTTTATGCTCTCATCTGACATAAATGCAGACAAAAGAGTGCAAAACTCTTCAGGCTACCAGTATTTTATTTATTTGTAGGTATTCAAATATCTACAGAAAATGAAAATAGTGCCCAATTTCCTGTTTGTAAGGTACCAAAATTCAAAACTAAAGTGAGAGCACAAGTACTATGCAGTTCAAGATAAAAATTCACCATTTCACATTTATATTCAGTATTGTAAACTGCACCACCAAATTTTACAAAACAAATCATATTGCTAATTAAAATTCTCACATATTCTCAAATTAAACTCTGCCATGTTGTTTTACAGGGGGACATTAGTAACTTCTCTTTCAATATCCGAAACAATGATTTTTAGAATAAATTTGAAGTTTTGATTCATTCAACGAACAATTATATTGAGCACTTACTATGTGTCAGATACTATCTTTGTTTCTGACCAAGCAAAATGGGATGATTTTCTAATTCAGAAGAATTCTGGTCTCTAAAGCAGTGGTTCTCAAACTATTTTTTATTCATTTGTACCATCAGAATTACCATACTTCTACTTCCCAGAAATTCTGGTGAATCTTTCTAACACTGAGATTCACTGATACATGGAGCATAGGTTTTATGCTCTGTGTATCATTCACATTGAAAGTATGTGAGATTTTACTTTTTGTCTCAAAAACAACATATTTATTTTCCAAACATAAAGCAGGAGATATTAAATATACTCTTTTTGAGAACTAGATCTGCTACTTCCCCATCCCAAAATAGAAATTCAAATTCCCCATACCTCGTCCTGTTGAGAATCACTGCTTTAAAGAGTTATGGAGAAAAACAGGCAATCTTCATCTCTCCCCTTCAATCAAGTCTTAAAGGAATTAGAATTTTCCTACCTGACACAACAGCTGGTGGAGTATCATAATCCTGTCTTGGGACTGAATCTTTGAATGAAAAGAGCATGAGAAAGAATGCAATGAAGTACAAAAGAAAATAAAATAGAATCTTAGCTCTAAAACTTGGAAGTGCCCATTAAATGTCATTTGGTTATCTAAGCCCTAGGTCTTTCAACAGGTAAGGCACAAATGCCTCTAGTTAACACTTGACACAATGGTCCCAATTACCACCACAATCTTCATGTTGTTAGGCCCCACTTAACTTTCTAGAACAGTATTTTCTGTCCCAGAACATTATCATCTTTCTCTGTCATAATTTTGGTCCCTTCCCTAGTGGAATTAATGTGAAATTATTCCCCTTTCAGGCTGACACAAAAGTTCTATAAAGTAGCCTACATAGAACGGACCTAGAACATAAATATGAGACAAAGTCCTAGAGAACAAAAAAAAATCAAAAAAAAATTACAGAGATAAATGAAAAAATTGTGTGTCCCCATAGTACATGGAAGTTAACACATTTTGAAGCTGGAGTTTCGTTATTAATCACTTAGCTCTGGTTCTGATCCAGGTTGTGTCAATGAAGGCCAAAAATCTTCGTTTGCTCAAATTGTGAGAGCAGAGAACAATGGAACTAAGACTATTTGACAGATGAAGGTTGTTGTTTTCCAAGTGTCACAACTTTGGAGGTGGGAAATGATAGAGAAAAGTTTTTTAAATTACATGTCATTTATTTAAAAATTGGGGCTTATGTGAAACAAAAAATCAAAAAACATTTTAAAAGCTGATGAATTCTTGAGTAAAATACAATTTAATCTGGACTCTTAAAAAGTAGAACATGGCTTATGACCTGAAGCCCCTCTTCTATAAAAAGAGTAAATTCTTATCTAGCTCCAATTCTACTTAGAGGGGTAAAGTCCAAAAGGAACCAGATGTTGTTGACATTTGAAAAATCTATCAAACATTTAGATTTTTTTTTGGTGATACTCATTTTATTTCTTTGAACTTGATTCCATTTTAAAAAATCAAGCTTTAATTTTCTACCTGTTTGATAAATTAATTTGGATAACCACAGATTTCTCCATTTCATCTCTTTGCAACAACAGAACAATGCTAGTTGCTCATGAATAAATGACATGTAAGAAGACAGATACAAACTTGACCAGTGCATGCCATTTTGGCAAAAGCAAACATTGATCAAAGATTCAAATGTAAATAAATCTTAAGCATGATTTGTTTCTTGCAACAGGTAAGTAAACTACTGAGTTGATTATAATTCCAAATCTAGAACAGGAGATTCATGTATAAAGGGTCTTTAAATGCATTATCAATAATGGTAACAATTCCTAGTACTTTTTAAAAGTTGCAACTACGCATTACTACAAACAACAACAACCAAAAATTCCCTTGATTTTAGAACTGTTCCACTAGTCATTTTCCAAAAATATATTAATAACACTTAAAAATAAAATAAATCATGTCCACTATTGAATGCTTAGAGGATAGAAAAGTATAATGTCTGCAAAAGAAACTATCTTTAATCCCATAACCAGGAAAACACACTAGTTTTACAATTCTTGCAATATTATTTCAAATATTTCATCACTGATGCTATGTTCAACATGTGCAAATTTATATACTGTTCCTTGATGTAATGTTAACTCTTTTCCTAATTATATTAAATTCATGTTACAACTTCAATGTATATTATAGAATTATAGATTATGGCTTACTTAATCATTCTTCAATAGAATTATAACATGAACACGAGCAAACATTTCTGGAGGTATAAAGCTTTTTCCTATCATTTAAAATATTCTCATAGATGAGTTTCTCAAAAATTTTAATGGCTTTTAAGTTATAGAAAATATAGAGTTTTTGAAAAGTGTTTACTGCCATATTACTTCTGACACGTTTACAAACATAGGTTATTATTATCATACCACCAGTGATAAGGAATATTTCCCTATAACTTCATCAACAATGCATTTTATTTTGACAACTTTATGGAATATATTAATATGTGCATGTGTCTGTCTACCTCACTACAATTATACTTTATAATTTATTTGATCCTTTTTATATGTTTTTGGCATTCTAGTCCCTCTTTAATTAACTATATGATAATATTTCATTTGAACACAAAATTTATACTTGAATATACTAAAGTTTAAAGTACTAAAGTATAAATATACATATTTATATATAAACCATTTTATAATAGTAGTTTTTAACTTAATGAATATTTGTTTATTTATATCATTACCTTTAAGGTTCTTTTATTCTACACTAACTACACACAATTTTTAAACATTTAAAAAACTAATTTTCTTTTTATCTGTATTCTATTTCTTATTTTGTCCATTTTAAATAAATTAATACATTTTTCTGCACAAATATTTAAGGATATATACCATTATTTGTGAATTTTTGTTGTTTCCATTTTATGTTCTGCATTGCTTTTTCAAAACCTTATATTCATACCTCATAATAAGGAACAAAGTAATCTCTAAGCAAGATGAGAATTCAAGAATTTCACATGAGATAATCAGAACCATAAAGTAATTAGGGAAGAATACATGACTGACAACACTAAAGAACTATGGTGAACAAATGAAATACAATTACAAGATTATCTTTGTGAGTGGCTATGGTTACACCATGGAAATCTAATGATGTCACAAATCACCAGTGGTTTGGACAACACAAACAGAATTGCAGATAAGGAGCCTGCAGAACAGAAATATTTTATTCCTTTCAGCAAATTCTGGTGACATTGTAAGCCACTGTTGACCACCAACTAAACAAATGAAAAGGAGATAAGAAACTTGTAAAACAAGATTGTCTTGTGATTTGGAGATTCTCACAACAGTAAAATCCTTAGTGGTTTCTGTTAATGCTTACAAAAAAGTGGTAAGAAATTTTTGGTAGCAGCTTTAATCTTACTGAGGGAATCTTGTAACAAAAATAAATAAATAATAAATAAACAATAGCAAAGAGACTCGAAAATTCTTTAAGGTCAGCAGAGCCCTGGAAGAAAACAGGCATGCTGCTTGCATTGAATTCATTTATTAAAGGCTACAAGAATCAATCCAATCGAAAAATAGGTGGAGAATTGAACAATAAATATGAGAGAAGAAAAAAAATAGCAAAAAGTTAATTAAACTACAGGACATCCATTTCAAAATTCGAGGTTATGTGAGAACAAGTGTAGCTAATATGATGAAAATGAAAAAGAAGCTTTGCTTCAATAGACTTCCCCTTTGCCCAGGACTTTTAAAAAGGAAAACAGGACAGGATCTGTGGTCTCCAGTCCTGTCTAAAAAAATAAAAAAATTCTAGCCTAGGTCCATGTTCATCACTGCCTTTGAGTCATTAACCGGATCTCTTTTAGCTATGCTCTTGGGATATGTTTGTAAAACTGAGATTTCTAACTTGATTGGTCACTTCTTATACTTCTCTTGAACTTTGTTTTGGGGCCACACCCCAGCAGTTCCAGGGCTTATTTCTGGATTAGTGCTCAGGGATCAGTCCTGGCGGTCTAAAGGGACCAGATGGGATGTCTGGGATTGAATCCCAGTTGGCCTTGTGCAAGGCAAATACCCTACCCGCTGTATGTTGTTTGGGTCCCACTTTTTGTACTATTTATTTATTTTCAGAATTTCAGTGAACTCAAATGTTTGAAAGTTTCTGAAAAGTTACAAGTAGGAGAGAGATGTGCTCAAGTAATTTTGATTTGCCAGCCCTGGCAACATGATAAAAAATGAACTGAAACACATTGACACTGAAAGAAAAAACGAGAAGTTAGAAGAACATCAGTTACCCAAATGTGGTCTAGGGTGGAGATTCTTGAAATGGGGAGAATGGGAAATACATGACAAATGTCTAATGACACAAATTTAGTATAACATGAAGAGCATTTCGTACTGTGAGAGGAGAGTCTAGACTGAGTCAAATGATGTCACGAATCACCAGTGATTTGAAAAACACAGACAGAATTGCATATAAGGAACCTGCAGAATACAGTCATGGAATTAGCCTGAAAGGAAATTAGGAACTGGATCATACATGGGAATGGGAGTTCAGTAAGAAGTGGAAACTCATCAGATTAGTTTGGATCATGCTGACTTTGAGATGTTTGAGGGATATGTTTGTGACTTTTATATTAAGTAATTAGATAAATGAATGTAGAACTCTAAGATGAGGTCAGTATTGTGAATTCTGAATTAGGAAAACTCTCTTAGCATTTTAAACCGCAAAAGTGGAGGAGAGTGCTTAAGGAAATCATGGATGAATGCAAACTTAAAAAATAAAAAAAGGAAATCCTGGTTTAGCAGAAGATGAAAGGAAAGAAGCAATTGCCAGAGAGATTGGAGAACCTGGCAAATGTTGGGGAGTAATCACAAAGATTCCTTAGGACAAATGGGGTCCGATATTAAATTGTATAGAAATTTCCCATTAAAATCTGAATACTTTTCTTATCTTGAGAAACTGGATGTTGAGGCAATCATGGATCTATAGATGCTCTACCTAGATGGACTTGAGTCATGCCTGACCTCCTTAAATAAGGAGACTCTGATCCAGATAGCCAAAGGCACGGCTTGTTCCAATTGTCCATCCAATATTCAGATATAGATTTTTCTAACACTATTGCATTAAAAACATAATCTCCAATATTATGAATGCTTAGATTATTAGACCTACAAAATTTTACATATAGAACAAATGCTGGCAAGCAACCAAAGTAGAATAAATTTCATGACATATTTCTAGGATTTGTTTTCTTGAACTTAGTCAATATCATTCATTAGCATGAACTTGCCAGTCTCAGTGGAATTTGGGATCTATAGCCTTATAAAAGTATGTTAGGAACTAAGGAAGTGGAAACTTAAAGGGAAGTGTTAAGTCACATGACACAGGACAATGATTTGAACCATGAACTTGATAGTGACTTACGTCCTTTCTGGCAACCTGAACTAAATTTCCATTAGCGGTTCCAATGGTATGGGAGCTATATTCTATCAGATATTATATATATACACATATGTATATATATCTTTCATTAACACTCACAAAAACCTTGAATATAAATACTGTCATCACACTTTGTAAAAAGGAAATAAAACCTGAAGAAGTTAAATAATCTTATATATGCATAGCTAATAAAGGGCAAAGGCTTTGTACCCAAATTGGATTCCAATGCCCACTTTTCTAACATGAGGTTGCAATCAGTAATGAAGAAGTATGTTGAAAAGATGCAGTAAGTGCAGAAATTGGATAGAAAGAATTAAACTCAATTGTATAACAGTCACTCCAAATGCTAATAAAAATTTCAAATAAAGTAAAATCAATGATAATCCATCAAAGTATAAAAGTGATTATTTAAGAAAAATATAATATTCTGGTCACCATTATATTACTGATATTTTGCTTAATAAATCAACAAAATCATAGTTTTCTCTCTGCCTTTTGCATAAAAAATTAATGAAAATCTAAACATCTGAAGAACATCCATTTACATCAAACTTGCAATCTATCTGAAAGATTATTTGATACAGATATAAAGGAGGATGTTTTTAAAATGTTAAAAAAAAAAGTAGAGGAAAAACTGATGTTAAAAATAAAAGCACATTGCTTAAATGTTTTGCTTTCTATAAGAGAATTATCATTATTGAATAATTTGGCTATTACCAGTTGAGTGAAAATTTTTGTGTAAATGTATTTTTGTTGAAAATGCTCAAATTTTAGATACTATGACAATAATTATAATCAAAATATATTACTGAATCAATGACTATTGTAATTCTAAATCTGTTCTATGTGTTATAGCTGATTTTTCAATTCCCACAAGGATTAAATCACATTCTTATTTAACCTCATACTTAAATGCTTTTCTAGTTTGAAATTTTGATCTTAATCAGATGGCTTTGCTTTTGATTCAAATGAGTGTGACTTAACAAGCATTTATTTTCATTCTTTTCATTCAAACTCCAGTTTTTCCAAACTTCAGAATTGTCATAAAATACTGCAAGATTGCATTACTTCACTCATTTGGAATTTATGATCATTTAAGGAGAGAAAGGTGGACATCAAGGGAAATCAATAGTGGGATAATGAGAGTTCAAGTCTTCAAGTATTGTTCTTGGGTTTCACTTTGTTAGTAACTGCTGTCAAAATATTATCTTCAAATTCTATCTCCCTGATAAAAATTAGCTTCACCCTGAAGTAAAGTTCTTTGTACACTTATTTATGATTTTCAAAAGTCTAGGTCAGAGGTCTGAGAGATCATTTCATCCAGTTCACGATTTTAGATTGGTAAAGTACCAACAAATGTTTTTTTTAGGCTCAGTAACTAAGGCGTTGGTGATATATTCTTTGTGTTACTAAAACCATATATCTTTATGGAAACAATATGCGTCTTTTTGTTAAAGTAGATTATTAAGGCCTCAACGGACTTCTTAGAAAAGTCTAGATTACAAAAGGCCTACGAGTGAACACATGTATATGGCAAGCAAGCAAGGTTTAAGGTGGAATGTCTCATACAACTGATTTACAGAGTGTACATAGATATTTGGAAACAAAGCAGCGTAATTATGAAGAATCACAAAAATGATCACTATGAGACATAAAGGCTTAAAGACACTGAGGCATAGAGTCAAAGAGGCCCATAGATGAACACATTCAATACTTCAACAGACAGGAAGGGAAATAAGGACCAGAAAATAATCCCAGTAACAGCTAAAATCAACTCATTCAAGATTAGATTTTTGACATCAAATCTGATGTCCTTTATGTCATGTTAAAGCTGCCTCTGTCAGGAGAATGTACATTTTTCTTTCTATGCCTTTAACAATGACAAAATTATATTTCTAACTATCTATAAAAACTGAAAAATTGCCAATGGAGCCCCATAAGGCATAGACTCTATGATTCCTCATTGCTCTCTATGATGATAAGGGACAAAGTTACACTATTCTAAGTTGCTCTAAACAATTAGCCTCTGACCATTTAAGGGATTGTCTTTTTGTAGATTGTTTTTTAAACAAACATGCATTCTGTTAATGATTTCAAATACTTTGCTGATAACAAAGTAAGGCAGCAATAGTTGTTTTTCAACATTCACCCCTTAAGGAGAATTAGTGAGTACTCAAAAATATTTCAATCTATAATAAAAAATCAATTATTGTGGATTCCTTCCCCCCATCTTTTCTTAAATAGCATCTAAGTGTTTATTTGACATATTCAAATAAAAAACATTTAAAAAAAGACCTCAGTTAGTGAGAATATTAGATTCTCATTAACCCTTTTACTGATATAATGATTGAAGTAAATAAAAAGTCCTGCAGTTATAGTCAATGTTGGCCTCCCACTCGTGAATTATCTGGAATACCATATTTGCTGAGGTGATAAATAGCTGGGGGAAAAAACCGGCATCGACGTATTAAGCTGCAAGGTGGAGATATACAGATACATACATAATGGCACCTTTCCAAAGGAGACAATATCTGGTGCAAGCATTATGAAAAACAAAGAGTGTCTCCAATTTGAATGCAATTCAGAAGAACCTTCAGCATTTTCAATGGGAATAAATGAGTCCTGAAATCGAACATGCATGCTTAAGGAAGTTTATTTCTTCTGGAACATGAAAAGAGTTAATCAATAGCATAAAATCAGTTTTGCTAATAATGTTTTGCTAATAATGCAGTGAAGACAGAGAGTATTGCATCTTATTGAAAAAGGTCAAGACAGCAACGCAAAACAAATTCTACAACTTACCGTTCCTGTTGTGCCCAATGAAAGATGATTCATCTGTTGTGTCAGGGGGCCCATCATGTTTGCTGGCTGCATTGACATAGGATGATCCATTGTCGGTGTGATCACAGCACCCTAAAATCACATAATGACCACATGAGAAGAGGCTCCAAAAGAAAGGCAAATTAAAAAAAAAATAGTAAATGAGGTCAAGATCAAAATTATTCATTTTTACTTAGACCAAAGTCAATCATGTATGTTTTGTATATCGATCAATATCATTTTGCACTTTAATAAATTTATACAATTAGCAATATTCTTTCCACTGATGTAATTTATCATTAATATGTCCAAAATGCCTGTCATTTGTGATTTAATAGTGTATTCCAGATATTGTACGTATTTTCCCATTATTCTACATACAAGTTTCTCTGACTGTAAACATATTAATACTAGGAATATTCTCTAGCTTATTTTGATCTGTAATCAGACTTGCAATTTATGGCATTCATTCATGTTTTATAAAGATAATTCTTAATTACATCAATATAACCTATCACCAGGGCAGTAAAAAAATACTGGCCTGAATGGGTTTTTGACTCTGAATACCATTTAAATACAAAACACTTGATATAAAAATCAGCCAATTTCCCATGTTTTATTTTCTAACCTTTTGATCTATGTTTTATGTGTTTTACATGACAGAAGCAAACTTAAAATCTATTTAAGTAAGTGTCAACTCTTTAAATAGGTGGAAATAAAGACTGTCTTGTAGAACTTGCCTTTTGCTTTATTTTAATGGTTAGGAAAGCAAGAAATAGATATTTAAAAAAAAAAAAAACCTTTCTGTCCATATACAAAGTTCCCATTGGCTAGTGAGGTACATATTATTTTGTTCTTCCAGGTCCTCTCTCCTACTGTGATATCTAAATTGATTATCTTAATAAAAGGAACAGTATACTTTTTTTTCTTATTCTGGGAGAAGTCTTCTCACATAGTGCTCAGGGTGTCCTTGGAGTCACTCTTTGTGATACTTTGCTAATCAGATCCTCAGGGTAATACTAGGCTGAGGATGTTGTGCATCTGAAGAAATGCACAGAGTTGAGGACTAGCAGGGCTATCCCAGAGTTGCTCAGGGACAATTTACCAGATCCCTATTTACTACGACCCGAATTCCTTTTCTCCTAATAAAACTAAGATTTTGTTGGTGAGAATCTAAGGATTTGCTTTTGTCTTGTTTTGTTTGCTTAGTTCGAAAAATCTAGGGTCGAGTAAAAGCATTGAGATTATACAACTCCAGTGCTTTATTTTATTTTGAAAGTGCCAGTACTGAAGGTAGGCTCTTGCATATGAAAAGCAAGTTGTTCACTGCTGAGTTATATTCCCAAATCACCAATCTTTTATTTGAAAAATGATAATAGAGCAACTGATGATGCAATAATGATTTAAGTGTTTAGTGATCACAAAAAGATTATATATTTGAATGGTATTTTTTTCTGAAAAAATTATTTTTCTCACTATATGATTGTTTTCCAATAAGTAAATATCCTGATAAAGTAAAAGGACAGATTTAGGTTGGTAAAGCAATTTGAATAGTCATTCTAACCACAAGGAAATGTTTCTAAAGTTGTTTTTGCATTCAGAATCCAACTTCCTGGCTGTTAAAAGATGAGATCACCACTCAGCCCTCCTCATTGACTCATCCCCATTAGCATGAACAGAAAATTAAATGCTTAATATACAGAACCAGCTTTGTTCATAAAGACATTAGAACTTAAGCACGAAAAACAATTAAAAAATATATGTACTTCATTCTATAGGTCTTGCAAATACCCAGAATTGTACATTTGCATAGTTGAAATTTCTTGATGCATCTATAAATTGAAGTATGCTTTTTAAATGTGAAATATGATAATATAAGCTTTCATTCAATTATAATTCACACTTTCTTCCTGCTGCTTGAAATCAAGGTTGGAGGAATGGGTGGGGATCCCAAGCAGTGCTTCTGTCTCCCTGCAAGGCCTGAGGATGCAGACCTGTTTGGTTCTGTGATGCCCTTAATACTAGAAGGTCTAAAATGGTCAACCTAACTTCTCACCATCTCTCCAGTTCTGCATTTCTTAAACAAAACAATCCTTTTCCCTTTGTCTTAAAAAACAATAATGGTCTTTATTTTTGGTATGTGTTTTGCCAGACCAGAATTAAATACTTGAAGTAACAAGACTGTTCTTAAATTACTGAGAAATAAACTATAGAATTTCTGCAGAGTAAAACCAGATTTTTCCACCAAAATGGCACTTTCATGACATTCTAAACCTTCACAGGTGCAAGACATCAATGTTCTTCTTGAACTTGAGATTTAGCTTCTCTTCTAGAATGTTAGCCCTTAGAAATTCCAACACACAGTCAAACTGTCACCATCTTAGAAACTCCTCGGGTTCTAAAAACCTCCTGGAGACACATAAAACCTCATTCTTCATAAATCAGAGATAAAGACCAAATTTTCATTGATATAGATATTTTCTCTTCAGTGTCCTAGAGGTGACCTCATCCGTGGTGGGTGGGAGAGGTAGACTTCAGTCCTTGTTTGGGAGGCAATATGCAAATGAGATATGTGAGAATGTGACAGATGAGGCAAAATTCATGCATGATAAGAAGAGGAGGATTGAATGCCTGCATTTGGAATTAATTTGGGATGAATTATCTGAGCTCTTTAGAGAATCCTTTCAGGAAAAGTGTTTGGGGACTCATTTGATTACAGATGTGACCAACTGACTGCTTTTGTGTATAAAACAGAAACCTGAAAATCAAAAGGAAGAGTGGGAAGGGATTTGTTATAATTTGGGATTGTAAATAGCAGTACGGGGCATGGAGTGCAAAACAATATAAGAAAAAACATCTCTCTCCTAAATAGACCAATTATTGCAAATAAGTGAGCAACAGAATAAGGATTTGGGAGAGAGAATATGTAAAAGCATATAGTCTGATTCACATTCTGTGAAAAATGGTCAATGAATAAGGAATTGTCACAAATTCTTAAGAACACAAACTCTTTTGTAGTATCAAGAGATGAAAAAAATTTAAATCATAAGTTGGAAGTAGTGGATTGGAAGTTCTTGAAGAAACAAATATTTCTGAGAATATCTTTAGGGAAAGAATTTAGAGATTAAAGTAACACGAAGGATGGTACTTTTTCGTTGCTTTGCTCAATGTAGACTATAGAATCTTTTATTTGGTATAAGACACATTCTCTCTTTCTCTCTCTCTGTCACACACACGTGCAAGAGATAAGAAAAAAGGAAAGAAAACAAAAAAGCACAGCACAAACTTGCAGTTGTTAAGGCAAAACTTACCCTCAACCAAGATCATGCTTCATTAAGTATGCTGTCAAATTCATTCCTATCCAATGCATTTAAGCCATATCCTGAGGAGTGTTTTTTGACAGATGTTGCCAACACATTAAGGGTAATTTCATTTACTGCAAATGTATAGAACATTCTGTCTGCTGGAGCTCACTTGGCAAATGGCAAAGCAAGAGGAAACAGATTTTTCATTTTAGCATCTCCGGATGTCTGGGTTTGCTCAATGTTTAAGCCGTAGTGAAAAATACTATAACATGCTATAATTCTACTAAAAGGGACGATGACCAAACAGCTGATAGGAAGTCTGTTCTACTTTAGCCACTGCCTTTAAAAAAAAGTGCTGCTTCCACTTAAGATATGTAGTTTGAATCTGGTCACCCTGATTCTAAAATATCTGTTATCAATAGGAATTTAGGAAAGTTTCAGAAGATCAGCAATGTGGAATAAATATATTTGACCAAAGGACAAGACATCATCTGACTCTTTAACCTTCTGCCAATATTGCACTGTTTGGATATTCTTTTCGTTTTGCATGAACATCTGGCAGTGCTCAGATGCTACTCCAGACTTGGTGCTTAGGGGTCCAGGAATTTAATCTGGCCTCCCACACTCAAGGCCTATGCTTTGGTAGCTTGAACCATTCCTCTAGCCCAACTACCAATATTTAGAAGGGATTTCAAATCTTTGAGACTTTGTTAATACTTTAATTTTCCAATACAACGACGGTTAAAAAAAGAAAATATGTATGCACTCTCTTATCTTGAGCATATATAGATAACTTATTTTAATGCAGATAGTGAGAAGAATCACTGTATCACTGTCACTGGATCACTGTCATCCCATTATTCATTGATTTGCTCGAGTGGGCACCAGTAACATCTGAATTCTTTCTAGCCCTGAGATTTTAGCAGCCTCTCCTTAGTCATCTTCCCAACGGTGCTGCATTGGAGGCTCTTTGAGGGTCAGGGGAATGAGACAAATCTTTGTTACTGTTTTGGCATATCAAATATGCCACAGGAACTTGCCAGGCTCTGCCGTGAGTGAGAAGAATCACATATAATAATATTCCTGTGATCATCAGTAATAATATTCCTATTATTGTCAGTATTCTAGGCTAGTGATAGTCCAAGCATTAGACAACTCTGTGGTCCGGGGATTTGGAATCAATGTTTTAACCTGCTCTCCAAATGACTCTAATGCATTTTAAGATTCAGAAGTGTCTGGGCTGAAGCGATAGCACAGAGGGTAGGGAATTTGCCTTGTACTCGGCCGACCCAAGTTCGATTCCTAGCATCCCATATGGTCCCCTAAGTACTTCCAGGAGTAATTCCTGAGTGCAAAGCCAGGAGTAACCCCTGAGCATCACTGGGTGTGTGTGACCAAAAAAGCATAAAATTCAGAAGTGTGATTTGCCTGTAAACTGCTATTATATTAGCCAATATTTCAGTTTTTAAAAATAATTATCTTTATTTACCTATAAAATAAGCAAGTGATTTTTTTGACCATACACTTTAAACAAGTTATGTATTAGGGCATGTACATTTTTATAATTATCACCTTATTACAAAGAAACCAACCATCTTCATCAGCCTAACCTCTTGTGTGTAAAGCATGTAAAGCATGTGCTCCAGCTCTCTGAGCACTGTCTGTTTCAGGGTTTTCTGAATATTTAAGGTCTAAGTGTGATATGTTTCTATGTGTTCAGCTATAGCACATTTGAGAATCCTACTTAAAATCTTAGGGTTGGAGAGACAGTACAGTGAATGGGGCCCT